CCAAGGACAAACCACATATCAGACTATTACCCCCGACTCCGCCCAAGGACAAACCACCGATCAGACTATCCCCCACAACCCCCCCAAAGAAAAACCCACATATCAGACTACCCCCCACAACCCCCCCAAAGAAAAACCCACATATCAGACTACCCCCCACAACCCCCCCAAAGAAAAACCCACATATCAGACTATTCCCCACGACCCCGCCCAAGCCACTTATCAGACTATCACCCACAATCCCACCAAAGGAGAAGCCACATATCAGACTATCACCCCAAATCCGGCCCAAGGAGGAGCCACATATCAGATTATCCCCCCCAACCCCGCCCAAGGACAAACCACATATCAGACTATTACCCACGTCTCCGCCCAAGGACAAACCACATATCAGACTATGGCCAACAATCCGGCCCAAGGACAAGCAATATTTCAGACTATCACCCACAATCCCACCAAAGGAGAAGCCACATATCAGACTATCACCCTAAATCCCGCCCAAGGAGGAGCCACATATCAGATTATCACCCACAATCCCATCCAAGGACAAGCCACCTATCATATTATCACCCACAATATCGCCCAAGGACAAGCCACCTATCAGATTATCACCCACAATCCCGCCCAAGGACAAGCCACGTATCAGAGTATCACCCACAATCCCGCCCAGTGGACGACAGTTGAGATAAAACACAAACACCACAGCTATATCTTACTTTTATTATCATACCATTAAACAACGTCATATTTATCATCCTCATCAGCATCATCAGTCTCTGAATTTAACGTGTGTGCAGATTTAAATTCTACCAACCTAATCAAATATCATAACTAAGGAATCGAACAACATCATAATATTAACATAGTTATTTTCAATTTGTATCTGAATGACACACAAAGTGAGATACACACATACACGTGTATCTGGCCATTGACATTTGTGATACACACGTGTAACCTAACCTTCACACACATACACGTGTATCTGACCATTGACATTTGTGATACACACGTGTAACCTAACCTTCACACACATAAACGCGCATCTCTGTGATACATACGCACATGTATCTCCTACCATTGTTAAACACGCAGAAATTTGCATTCGCGATCCACACCTGTTATACACACGTGTGACCACCCACGCCAGTTATACACACGTGTGACCACCCACACCAGTGATACACACGTGTGACCATTCACATCACAGTAATACACACGTGTGACCATTCACATCACAGTAATACACACTTTCGACCATTCTAAGCGCATTGATACACACGTTTAACCATTCTAAACACAGTAATACACACGTGTGCCCATTCACATCACAGTAATACACACGTGTGACCATTCACATCACAGTAATACACCCGTGTGACCATCCACACCAGTGATACACCAGTTTGACCATTCACATCACAGTAATACACACGTACAGTTACACCTTACTATTCACATTATATTACTATGCATTTATACCTCTCTGCGCGCTTCTGTCCGCGCCAACTAGAGCAATATTAATATAAGTTGGAAAAATTTGCTTCAAAATTGTTGAAAAATAAATAAAGATCATATTTTTAACAAACCTTATAAATCACACCACTGCAATACACGCACACATGTGTATTTCACCATCAGCATCTGTGATAGATAAGTGTGTTGTACATCACCAATCACAACGTATTAATACACAAATTATCTTATACAATATACATTACAATATATTCCTATTGAAGCCAAACGTTTTACCTGTATTTGATCTGTAATTGACGAAATAGACGGATACAAAGTGAGTTCTGAATAATTGAGCGCCACTTTGAGCTATGGTAATGGAACGTCACTTTCCATAATTGACGTCGTTTTATCCGCTATTGCAGGTCTTTGATATTTCTAGTGACACAAAAACAAAAAAAAAACAATATCACAAATAGGCCTTTATAGTAATACATACTTAACGTTTGGTTAAGTTTTACACAATTGAAATCATCATCAGCACTCTACATGCACTGGCGTTCGTCTTCACATAAGTATGGTGTTGTCTATATATCACATCTACCACTTAATCATGATATGTGTATATCTCACCAGTTTCACGTTCGTTGTAAACACAATCATCATCTCATCATTTAACCCACTACACGAACGTCACCATCTTAGATAGTACAGTGTATAGTCGCATACTGACATATAGGTCATAGAGCAAACAACACTGTTATAATGAATAAATATCTTACGAGTTAAAATGTACACATTTCATACACTCCCCTACATTTCTGAATGCATAGGAATGTATATCAATACCAAATATAAACAATCACGGAGTCGAATATCAGTCACGATTTTGTTACCCAGTTTTATATTTATATCATCACCATTGTACAGTGTTCAGTGCAACTGTGATTCCAAATAAAAATGACTTGCATTTCCGTTTCGTAATGATGCCTGCCCATCATCTTCATTCAAATAAAAATCAATTCAAGTCAACTGCTACTTTCTAAAATTGTTTCTGAAATTTGACAGAGCCGCTGAACATATTGAGAGACCGTCTTTATCACACATGACAGACGTGAAGTGGTTAGAACTACAGGGAGCGAGCGTCCGTATCATACACGACTGACGCGTAGTGATAGCGACATTGAAATGATTGGTCGTTGTAAATGTATCTTCCACGGTGATTAGTCACCGAGTCATACGTCTAATGCTGGCGTGATTGACTCGTTCACCCTAATTAGAAACCAATAGAATAGAAACATGACGTTTTAGCACTATAACATATACCGTAATCCCTTTTGTATATTAGAAATAAAAAACGCTAATGAGGAGAGGACGTACGGTTAGAGCGTTAACACAATGGCCTTAAACACGTGTAACCATCCTCTCTCATCACATTATTGCTGCATGCATTCCCTCTAATTATGTACCACTTTTGTTGGTAGTTATGTTAGTATGCAGTATGAGGTATTTTATGATACAAAAGTGTTGTTGGTGTTTGTGGCGTCTCTAATAGGACACTAAAGCTACTAGTGACGTCAGGATATTGTATTCTTTCCCAGAAGCATCACTGTTGTTATAAGTAACGTCAGTATGACGTACGCATTCCTCTTACAATACGCCACCTTTATCGTTAGTTACGTCAACAAAATGTATGGGTTCCTCTTCGACAGAGCACTATTGTGCTCTTTACAACTTTCTGATACGTCACTACTCTCTTAACAAACCTCTGACACTTTACCATGCCATTAACAATCCTCTGTCACTTCACAACGTCATTAACAATCCTCTGGTACTTCACTATGCCATCAACAATCCTCTGCCACTTCACTACGCCATTAACAAGCCTCTGTCACTTCACTACGCCATTAACAAGCCTCTGTCACTTCACTACGGCCTTAACAATCCTCTGTCACTTCACTATACCCTTTACAATCCTCTGTCACTTCACTATCCCCTTTACAATCCTCTGTCCCTTCACTATACTATTTACAAGCCTCTGTCACTTCACTATACCCTTTACAGTCCTCTGTCACTTCACTATACCCTTTACAATCCCCTGTCACTTCACTATACCCTTTACAATCCTCTGTCACTTCACTATACTATTTACAAGCCTCTGTCACTTCGCTATACCCTTTACAATCCTCTGTCTCCTCACTACGTCCTTAACAATCCTCTGTCACTTCACTATACCCTTTACAATCCTCTGTCACTTCATTCTACCATTTACAATCCTCTGTCACTTCACTACGGCCTTAACAATCCTCTGCCACTTCACTCTACCCTTTCCAATCCTCTGTCACTTCACTATACCATTTACAAGCCTCTGTCACTTCGCTATACCCTTTACAATCCTCTGCCTCTTCACTATACCATTTACAAGCCTCTGTCACTTCACTATACCCTTTACAATCCTCTGTCACTTCACTATACCATTTTCAAACCTCTGTCACTTCACTACGCCATTAACCATCCCCTGTCACTTCATTACGTCCTTAACGACCCCCTGACATTTTAATATGCCTTAAATGCTTTCTGTAATATTATAGTTTCATTTCTCTGACACAATATCGTAAGATCATTGGCATGTAAATAGGCTTTCAGTATTCTTCCTCTGACCACGTTCGTCACTATGGTGACAATGATGTTCCTATGATGACAGTGACATCACTGTGGTGGCAGTAACATAACTTTGGTGTCAGTGACATCACTATGGTGATAGTGATATCCCTGTGGTGTTAGTGACATCACTATAGTGACAGTGACATCCCTGTGGTGTTAGTGATATCACTATAGTGACAGTGACATTCCTGTGGTGACAGTGACATCCCTGTGGTTACAGTGACATCCCTGTGGTGACAGTGACATACCTGTGGTTACAGTGACATCACTATGGTGACAGTGGCATCTCTGTGGTGACAGTGACATCATGATGGTGACAGTGACATCCCTGTGGTGACAGTGACATCCCTGTGGTGACAGTGATATCCCTGTGGTTACAGTGACATCACTATGGTGACAGTGACATCACTATAGTGTCAGTGACATCACTATGATGACAGTGACATCTCTGTGGCGACAGTGACATCACTATGGTGACAGTGACATTCCTGTGGTTACAGTGACATCCCTGTGGTGACAGTGACATCCCTGTGGTGACAGTGGTGTCCCTGTGGTGACAGTGGTGTCCCTGTGATGACAGTGACACCCCTGTAGTGTCAGTGACATCACTATGATGACAGTGACATCTCTATGGCGACAGTGACATCACTATGATGACAGTGACATCATTATGGTGACAGTGACATCTCTGTGGTGACAGTGACATCATTATGGTGACAGTGACATCCCTGTGGTGACAGTGACATCCCTGTGGTGACAGTGACATCCCTGCGGTGACAGTGACATCACTATAGTGTCAGTAACATCACTATGGTGACAGCGACATCACTATGATGTAAGTTGGTACATTACATCGTGTAGAAGTAATTCTATAACTACAATAAGTATATTACTTCCCCTTTGATAGAGTGAATTTGATGTCTTGCTTTAGTTCCATGCTGATCAGTCTGGAATTACTCGCTGATAACAATACCCCCTTTGCACTAGGTGTCCTGCTGAGGTGTATGTGCGACTTTCGACAACATATCCGGTATCTGATAGATTTTATCATGAGTAGAAGGCTACTTTGGAAATGTTTACCGTACAAGGCATACAAAAAGAAATTAACACTGAATGTTGAGTAGTACAAGAGTTGTGTGATTTCCTGCAGGAGGTAGTGGTACATTGCTATTTCAGTCTCTTGTTGGGTTGTTGTGTAAATAATGAGCGTGTACAGTCTTCGCACATGACTTGGTAAATTGAGCACCAGGAATGTTGTGGATACTAGCACGAGTGTTCGCGTCACACGCATCTGAGGCTTGCTGCGTAGCGCTCTACTTTTACTTCTTGAAATTGAAGAGTTGAACGAGTCAGTTGGTTTTAAACAGTGTTTCCGCTTCCGATGAAAGGCAGCAGCTTTGCATACGACTTTTATATTCATGAGTAGAATGAGTAAGAACGGTATGATCATAGTAATAATGGTGTCAATCCAAGTCACCTTCTCTAGCAAACTCATGTATTTAAATTTGTACCCACAGCGATATACACCATTTAATTCCACCACGGAAGTAGTCCACAGAGCATAGTTATACAACACACCCGCGACCACAGCCAGAATTATCACATAAATCTTCTCCCGGAATCGTGAGCAAACAATGGGAGCTCGGAATGGATGGCAGATTGCGATATATCTTTCGGCAGTGAAACCTACCACATACCAGATCGACAGAAAGCTTGTCACGTACGTTACATAGACAAGAAGCTGACATACACCCTCGGTCTTAATGATGTTTGAAACACTACCGTCGAACCATGTTGTGAACAACGCTACGAGGAAAACGTTGTCAACAAATGCTAGCGTTGCCAGGAACGCTGTTGCTGAGGACTTTTTCATGTGTGTAGATATAAACACCACTATGGTAACGGTATTTCCGGTAAGTCCTATAATGACGATAATTGGGAGAAAAACGTTTCGCAGTGTCCTAGCCGTTTCGTAAAATCCTTTGGTATCGGTAGGCATCAGTGTGTCTGCTTCCTGTGAAAGGTTGTCCCATAGTGGATCCATGTAGTTCCTGTAGTCCAGGTATGTAACACTATGGTTGCCACCCGCCATGGCCATCTGAAACATAAGAACGAGACATTGGTATACGCAAATATGTTTTGATGAATAGTACTATCTCTATGAAATAAACAAAGAGCAAATGAAGACGTATTTGTCTGCGAAAAATCCGCACGTCTGCGAAACGCTATCGTGCTATCTGTAGCCTTATTACGCAAAACCGCGCAACGGTATCGTGCTATCTGTAGCCACAAGTCGTCGCAACAATATCGTGCTATCTAGTCCCTGTCACAATATTGTCCTACCTTTAGGCTAAGGTTCATATATAAATATTGTGCTGACTTTGCCTTCAGATGAAGGTATACGTTTGATACTGCTTAATTACTATTATTCAGATTGCAATGTATGAAACATACAGCAATGATTATGTCTCCGACTGCAATGTTGATGGCGGATGTTAAAGGGTGACAGTCCCCTGGAAATACAGAGTAGCTGATCCGTTAAGTGCTTTTTGTATTGCAACCTGTATCGTACAGGTACTCACTACAATGAGTACAGTAGTGGTGTAATGTGCTCTCTCTTGAGTTCGAGTGATCAGACGTACTGCAGTGTTCTGGACACTTACAGACACCTGTTACAGCTACACATGTAGCAATGAGAAGGCGTCAACATTAAAAACAACAAAGATGGTGGCCTAATTATATATCTATTTCCCCTGATGAACCTCTAAAGAGGTGAAAGTGCACCAGGAAATACTCAGAAATTCTTTTGTCATTTCTTCAATATTTTACCATCACAGAGACTTTACATATTTTTTATGTATACATATATATTCATCCCACAAATGCTAAAGGTTTCCTGGCCTCCTGGTCATGGTTAATGTTTGATAATTTCATAGTATGAAGAAGTATCACCCCCGTGTGATGTCACAACACTTTCAGATGTAACACTTTGACGTCTAACATCACAATTCCGAACGTAAAAGTCGGACCATATGTTTGAAGGAGCGATAATTTTCTTTGATATATTCTGGAGATGTTTAAAGGCAGACATAAATCTGGTGAGAATTCATAATTATTTGTAACTATTCTGTTGAATTTATTCCCAAATACGATTTTCTCCCTATCTCTCAAGCTCGTATTTTACACACCAGAATAAACTTAACTCTGTGGGATATAAAATATAAAGCAATCATCACTTGTTTGATTTCCGTTAATAGAGACGATAATATTTGTCATTTTTTCGAGACAACCTTCCGATTTATGAAGCCACTAAGCTGTCACCATTACGTTAGCAAATATCAGAGTTCCAATGTTTAAATATATCCCCTTCTACGTCGGCTCCAAACCAAATGGCTGTCAAAACAGTAACTGCAAATACATTTCTAGGCAGAATTGACAGTAAAATAAGCTATCAAAACAACAACAATGACTTATTAATGATTGTTGTTTTCGTTCCTGTAACACCAACGAGATTTGTATAGGTACATGCACGTCCATTGCATGACAGTGAAGTTTCAAGTTTTATTCAAACTTAAGGCCATTGGCCCATCAGTATACATTACATATATACACAATCATGGACAATGTACAGAGAATCATATTCCATTATAATACCCTTAATTTGTTTGCCGAATTTTCTAGTGGACATACTTATTTGATATAATGGACACTCAATAACTGAAAGTACAACCACGCTTAATAGCTGTAAAATACATGACAAAGACATTACGATTAAACAGAACACAACTCGAGTCATTAAGAGTGGTGTGTATTGTGTGCTGAATCATGTCCGTTCTTTGTGTACTCAAATACCCGTGTTAAACATTTTTCTCCATATTTGAGTCAGCAGCTGAGGGATATGTTTTAAAACATGGTGTAAAACATGATAATAGTCTCTTTGTCTTTAGAAACGGTTAATAATTATGAATCTCTAGCCTGATCTTTTCCTGTTGTCTGATTTATTAATTGAAGCTAGGTTCTTTTATGAGAAACGTTGCTGTCTAACATGATTCGGAATAACTGACAATATTTAAAAAAACCAAAAAGTTCTGCATCACTTTTTCAAAGATATCAACGAAAACAAAATGGTTCTATTTAATGGTGAACTACGATTGTTAAGGTCGAAAAGGCAAGAACCGTTTATAATGAAACTCGGTCTATGGCCTAACATATGAATATACTCTACGTAAACACGGTTGTATTACCAACTTTATGTTGACAATTATTGAATTAGTGGGTATTTTTCAAGGAGTGATCACCCAGTTAGACATGTCAATAGGGAGTCATTTGACTGTTCCAAGTCCCTCTTAAGTCATCTTCTCCAGTGCACCGGAACAAGCTGATATCTAGGTTACATTAATGAGTTTGATGTTCATCTTAATTACGCCACGTCTTTCTCTGACCCAAATATCAACAAAATGGTCATTGCCTCAGGTCGCATTAACTTGGATGCCAATGAAAACCAAAATATAATGGAACAACCGTGTTATGGTGCCATAACACATATCAATGTTAACTTTATATTTGACGAACCCAGCGATGACTTAATTTAATAATGAACAAGAAGAACCCCTAAAGCGTGTGTGGTTAACCATGAGTCGGGCATTGGTAGGGACATATTGGATCTGTTCGTCTACCCCCCTAGCTTCCACACAGTAATGAAGTACCCCATGTGACTGTGTTATATAACACAATATTCGGTATATTTATGTATGACTAACCTAGGAAATACATTCTCAAATTTAATCGTAAACTTCATCTGACTTTTTGATTTGATTTTGTAAGAAATTGTGACAGATGTGCCGAGCTATTATCTAATACATTCGTTTGTGCGGCTGTCACAACTCACATCAGTTCTCCTACTTGTCAGAGGCTACATGTAATAACTTCACTTTTAATACCAAACGAAGAAATAAATACATTGAACATATTGTTATTTCACACAAGTATTAACAGCAATGTTTGAGAAAATACGCATCTGACGCAGGTATTATTATATACATATTTCTGTTCGACCATTTCTAACTACGCGCCGATGCGATCGTTATGTGGACACAGCGGTACACGATGACTTAAAATTCGCGGCAAAAACCTTTAAGCAACTGTTTAGAATGTCAACAACGCAAGCTGTGCACTCTGCTTATCTGTATGTCCCCCGCCAGAGATGTGGTGGTCACATAGTCGTTTGAAGAAAACAACGTAGTGGAACTTGCTACACATATTTAAAAAAATCTTAATGAGCCAATTAGTTGTTCTTTCACAAATTGTACATTCAATATCGTCTAGTTTTGATTACCACATTCAGTGTAAACTTTGACCAATCATATCATTTCTGTATTTGTATCTTATAATAATTAAAATAAAGCGTTATATTTACACATAACATTTATAGGCATATTGCAATGGATTGGAAAGTTCTTTGGTTCGTTATTTGTAAGGGAGATAACTCCTGAGAGGAGTTTTAGATGAGGGATTGTTAAGATGCTATTAAAACTGAGATTTGAAAGGCCTTTAACCGTTGGCAGAACAGTCCAAAAAGTATATGTGACTGACTGATAAAAATGTTTCCAGCAAAGTTAGGGAACAGAAACGAAACTATTAGGAGACAGTCAGACATGCAGACGGTCTAAAACATCAGGCTACTAGAAGGACAATGTGGAAATTTTAATATAACGCCAACATTTCCAATAATCAATATAGGACAAGCAATATGAAGTGACACACAGATAAGGATTTATATAATCTTACATTTGGTTATAATGTCCTTACAACTAACAAAGGACATACCAATTATAAATTATACCAGTATCTATCTAAAACTGACTAGTAACTTAATGGCATATCTATTGCGACATCTCTACCTTTCTGCTCAAGTTAGAAGATAGCGTTAATATGTTCTTGATGAATCGAAATGGATTTGATGAATAAATTTGAATTCCAAACGCCACAGATAATTAGCATAAATGAGGATTGTATTTGTATATCAAAACGATTGTTGTATTTTGTTGACATTTTACGGGATTTCCATAAATAAATGACGACTACGTCATATTTTCATTAACAAATGCAGGATTGATCTGTTTGGAGTGGAATTGATAGATTAATTTCAGCTTTATTTGAAACATGTTATGCTGAGATGTTTCCTTAAAGGACAAAAAAAGAAATAAGTCAATGTATTATTATGAATTAGTGCTCTTAATATATTCATTAAACAAATACAAATATAAACATAATAAGGGAATTAATAGTTTCTATCAACTGAAAAAGAAAAAAAATATTGATATGCTATAATTAGATAATGTATCTTATAAATTTCACTTGGAAGGAAACGTGCACTTTTTGCATGCGGTGTTATGTTTTTTTCAATTAATGGTTGATTGTTTTTCGACCAACAGGAAATATTTTTTTCTCCAAAAACCGTACCAATTTTGTTATTAAATATAACCTAAGTACGGAATAATATTTTTCGTAACTATATTGAAGAATAAACATGTCCTTTTATTTGACAATAATGCCTTTTATTTGAAATACACCATAATCAATTTCTCGGTAGACTATTGAATATTTGAATTTACAGTAATAATCTATACTATGAGCTTGATTGAAAATATTTCAGTTCTGTGTCATTAAACACCGGTAGAGGCATATATACAATATATAAATCATAACGCTTTCTTAACCAGCAGAACAATACGGAATCAGCTTCATATACCCATAATATCATAATATGAAATGCGTACAATAGACAATTTAATATATTCTTAACACCAGAAATTTTATTGACGATATATTAACAATATACCGGTAACAAATTTAAAATGTGAACACTTACAATTACAATGAAACTGTATGACTGCAAGTACAAGTTTAAAATGAACATTTCCTATTTGAAACATAAAAGCAGCCACGCATTATTACACGTGTTAATCTTACTGCACTTGATGTAGGTTGTAACGTGCATCTGTTATCCTCACGTGCCAAACGACCCATTGATTCCTAAAAACACACGGGGAGTGTTTGACGGTGAAATCGATTTGACTATATTGCGACGAT